TGCTATGTGAGTTAATAGATAGATTTACCACAGGCCGGGGTTCGCGCAGGTTTTTTCCCCTGAGCGCGTAAGCATCGCGTAAGCTCGCGTAGGTTCCTGTTGCGCGCAAATCTTGCGTAGGATTGTGTCAGAGGTTGCTACAGCCACTTCTTGAAGGCATTTGGCTGGGTTTGTGTTGTGGGAACAGTTTTTTAGATGTCTCGTGTCGCACACCTTCGCGTAGGTTCGTTGTAAGCGAAAGCCCAAGCGCGCAAGGTTGCACAGGTTTGGTGCGAATGTTTTAACTTGCGAGAACCTGCAATACCAGAATATTCTCCATGGCTCATGTGGCCAGACTTGCTTGGTTCAATATGTTCTGTCAAGCAGAAGCATCAGAAACTTAGACATGAAAAAGACCTTACCTCACACCCTACAGGTACGGTACATGCACATCAAGCCGCTGTGTTGTTTGATGTCGTGGTTTTCTGACTCGCGGCTGCTTTGCAGTGTGTATGGACCAGGCATCAACCTGTTCGCACAGGCTAGGGCCAAAAGGGGGATGGTGGCCTGCAAATTTCACACATAGCTAGAATGGGACAAGATGTGATGGCCCGGTATGCAGCGTCTACATTTCGTGTGACGGCGCTGGGTTTTGCTTCAGCTCCTGCAAGTGCAAGGGCCTCTTCAGTTTGGTTTGTGGATAACCCATTTGGTGCATTTATGTCTGTCCAACTTCCCCTTCGTGCATATGACATGCACTGCCAAGACAAAAAGTAGCAGCTCAAAGACTTTCTACTGTATTGCCCAGCCACCCTCAACTAAAAGTACTTTTGATGTGGCAGCAAGCCGTCACCTTGACTGGCGGCTTGCTTTAGTCTTGCTTTATAGGTCTTTAGCTACCGCGCAGTCGCGACCAGTGCTTGTCCTGGCACTTTCAATTGTGTGAATCAGGGTCGCGAGACTGGAGAGGGGGCTTGATGTCATCCTCATTTTCAGACATTTTGAGCTGGGGTGCGAGACGGTGCACGCGCAAGATGCAAGATTGCTTGTAGGTTCCTCTGCTGTGAGTTGCAATCAGCCATCATCAACTGAAACAAGTCTCAAGAAGCCATGTTGCATCCCAGCAACGTGCTAAAGATCTCAATGGAAACATGCCAAGCACGAGCATGAGCAGGATGGGTTCTGTGATTCTGGAGTTCGGCGATCATGAGAAAGATCTCCGCGACACCAACGTGGAGGTACTCTGTCAAGAGCTGCAGGACCGTGGTATGTCCGACAAAGGTTGTTACACGGAGCCAATGTTTGCATAGACAGCTCGTGACGTTACGGTGTATGCTTTTCGGCCCAGAGCATGTCAGCGTATGTCGGCGTCATTCGGCGTCATGATTGGAGTAAGGGGAACGTCTCCAAGTACCGTATAACAAGGTGTTGGAGACATCCAGGACTTAGATTTCAGGCTGAGGTAACGCGTGAGCCTCTGACTCCTGGCAAACACTTCTACGCAGTATCTTGCAAATCGAGCTGCTTGGCATCCGCCATCGGCTGCGATGCTTTAAGAGCCTTTCCTTTTGTCACGAAATGTTTGCTCCACATCAGAATCAGCCGGATGGTTGAAGCGAGCGCATCCAAAGTGGTGTAAGATTGTGATGGTTGTGAAATTCTTGGCAAGCACTGAACACTGTGGATCACTGCGGACTGTCAATGCCTATCAGCCGTGAGCCGCCTGTATCAAAATGGCGCGCGTGGGCAGCATCAACAGCATCGCCGGCACTCTGCTAGCTGCAATTGGAGCCACCGGAATGGCACAACCTCAGCTTTTTCATTGGATCGCGCACTTTTGGATCCATGGACAATACCCTCACCCTTGTAATCGATTTTTCCGATTGTTCAGAAGAGAAGCGTTGCAAGCACACGATGTCAAATTGCGGGACAGTCGCTCCAGGGCAGAACATGCGCCTGTTGCTGCTCGAATCCGGCCGCAGCACGACACAAACTGCAGGCAGCGATAATGATTTATCACAGGCTAGTAAAGTCCGCTCGGAAACTCTTGACAAACGTCCCAGCTAGGTCACTGCATCCATGGAGAAAATCTTGTTTGACAACACCACTGATATAGTTTGCACCTGTTGTTTGTTCGACGCCAGTTGCAAAATCTGAAAATCACAAGCATGTTAAGACTGCAGGCAGGACGCGTTACACATGCTGGCAGCATGAGCACCTGCAACAGCGCAGACATATCAAAGTTAATCATCGCTGTAAGTTTGCACTTAAAGCTTCCAGAAGCACCCTGATTCCGACGACAGCCTCATACCAGCTTATGGCCACCCTACAAGCACAGCGCCCATACCAGCTGCGAAATAAAAACACACGATGTTCTGACAGAATTCGCATGGCAGCACAACTCAGGAAAGCGGTTCAGGTTTCCGACAGCAACGCCTGCATGTCAGCCTGGCATCATCTGGCATCATTATGCTGGCCACACTATCCGGTCTGTAATGTACTTCCACCATGATGCGGGGGCATGGTGGCCGACGTCTCTAAACGAGTGAGCTTGGGGTCTCTGTTCTATCAGTCATCGGTATGATCAGCCTGAGGAAGGCGCAGCGCGATGCAGGGGGATGCATAGGTTATAGATGCAAAACTGCTGTTTCGCTGCGCAGACTCCATGTGCGCTGCATGCGCTGCACCCCCTGCATTCCAGGAGAGCCAGGAGCTGCGGTCGGCCTTGAATCCCGGCTTGGCTTTTCCAACCCTTTTTGGGAACGTGTCCTGCATGATGGCTGCCAGTTGCACTTCTACCAAGGAAAGGCAAGGACTTCACAACCATGGAGTTGAAGCTGAGCTTTGCAGAAAGCAAAAGGTTTCCCAGCTTATGAGTTGGTGCATGCGTGGCCGCCTCTTCAGTGAGCGTATGGGTGCTGGCCTGTCAACTTTGCCGTTCTTGGGTAGTGTTTTGCTGGAGCCTTACTTTATTAGTTTTCATGGGTGCTGGAACTTAAGAGAGCTTCCGGCTCAGTCCGCCGACCCAGAGGCGGAGAAATCGCGAAAGCCTAAACCCTAAACCTTGAGGGTTTTCAACGGCTGGAACGAGACCAATAAACGCAACAAGATTAGTCCAAGCTAGGCTGCCAGGACTCAGCAGCTTTGCTGTTTTC